AGGAATGGCCAGGATTAAAAAGCAATAAAATTAGATTCTTCATTCCCCAGTATTCATTTCCAAACTCTCCCGGGCACCTGCTACACATCAGGCTCAGTTAACATTCATTAGACATGAATCATGGAGCATCTGCTCTTGCATACAGGTAGGAAATGCTGCTCCAGAGGACACTGCCTGTCTTCCCTAGAGACTCCCATTAGATATACAAATCTATGTAGTGGTAAAAAGTGACAATATCCTGAAATAAGCCATTCTAAGGGTGAATCTGTTAAGGTTTATGTTATGGTGACCATTGATTTAATAATCTAAAACAATACTTAATGCTTGTTACTTTTTTTAACCTCATTTCTTTCTCTTTTGGCTTTCAGCTCAGATCGGCTGATAGAAGAAACAATAAGGTAGGAATGAACTTAGTAGTTTTCATTATTTTATGCACAATTGGCATTTACACTGAATTGTGCCTAAAGACTTCAGTCATTTTATTTATACAATAACTGTATTGTTCACAGCTCATGGGCAATATTACAATGACTTGGTGGGTTTATTTTTGTTTGGGGTTTTTATTATTCTTCAATGTTGACATAATGATGTTGCTCAAATATTTTATTCGTCTTGGTTTAGAAAATCTACGAAAATCTACATTTCTATTCAAAGGTGAATAGCCCCTACAAAAAAAGAGCCTGATTGTGCAGAATGAATGTCAGGTTGAGCTGACTATTCAGCTATCGAGGGCTATTCCTGTAGTCAAGATGTTTCTTCTCATAGACACTCTTCAACAATGTGATTTTTCTGTAATCCTTCAACATATTCAGCACCCTGCTGTGCAGCTGATAGAGATAGGGGCTCTTATCACAAGGGCTTAAGAGGTTTTTGCTGTTGTGTAGTTATTTATCTTTTGGGGGTTTTTTACATGGTTTGAATACTTGAGCGGTACCTTCTCTAACTGCTCTGGAAATTTTAGAACCATGCTATCATAAATGACTTGTCTCATCTGTGTCCTTCCCAAGCTTCCATTGAGCTCAATGAATATTGGGGAATTTGCAAATCAATAATTCAGAGTGTCCGAGTGAATGGTTTAAATTTTAGATTATTGCTTTAAAAAAAAAGGAAGAAAGAAAACAAGAGAAGCTTTCAGATAATGCATGTACTGGTGTAAATGATCAAGCAAGGCTCTGTGTCCATTAAGGGATGGCTAGCTTAAATATACACAGTAGGCTCACTCTAATTTACAAGGTGGAGGAATGTGTAAAGCCACATTAATGTGCAGTGATGAACAGAAGTGGTGAGTGCAATAATGTCTGAATTGTGGATATAATCTCACCACAGCCTCGTAAAAATATTTCCCAAACTTAGCACAGTTATTGTGACTATTTGTTTTACTTTGGGTTCTAGGTCTTTCCCAATCAAATTTTTTCCCTTTTTTTGCCATACTTGTAGCCCTACATCTCCCTCTTGTAAAGATGCTCAGCATTTGTTGAATCTCTTACTTGCTGCCACTCCAGTAACTAGAGCATTAAACAGCATATGGTGATTTATTAAGCTTAATATTCTGCAAAATGACTTGTATTTTATCATTTGAGCACTTCACTTAGCCTCTTGATTAAATATCATCAGGGAAGCTAAGACTATGTGTGGTGAGTGAAGCTCTGCATTGATTTACCTGTGCAAGGGAATGTAGCTGTGGCAAACGGGAGCTCAGACCTGCCTGAATGCTCACTCTGGTTCCTCCATCAGTTCTGAGCCTCCTCAGAAGCTCCATGGTGTCATCAGGTGTCCAAGCTGGTTTCAGAATGCTTTGAGCTGCAGTCCTGTGGTTGACTTTGAGTGGCTGCTTCTCATGCAGTAATCCCAGCCACGTGGCTTGAGTCAGAGCTCCTTGGTGCCGTTAACTGAAAGCGTTCCTTCTGTTAGTAAAGGAACCTCGATGTTTAAGAGGCTGGATTTCAGCGCTCCTTGTTGCACCATTTATTATCTAGAGTAAATGAAATTCTTGTTGTAGTTGCCAAAAATAAGACATTTCTTTTTGTAGGCAAAGAAGTCATTTAGTAACTACATTGGGCAGGAGATGCAATTTCATTTATAACACCTTAATTTGATTCCAGCTGTTGAAACCAGGGTGAATTCCTTTGTTTTACTCTTTTTCTTGTCATCCCCAATAATTGCAAGTATTCAGGTACGATATTAACTGATGGTAAACCCTACTGCATTTGAAGTGAATTTATCAGATAGAAAGTTACCCAACTTGGGATCATCAATTGCTTTATCTATTGTAAACCAAATAAAAGAGGGAATTGTGCGGGGGAAGCTGTTTGAATGCAGATTCCTCGGGAGAAGTGAGATGTAATTAGCTTATTCTGGCTACTAATACTGCTCTGTCTTCAAGGCTTACATCTGCTTCATTACTCATTATTTGGGTGCAATTCAGGAAGTCAAGAAATCACTTTGTATTTTTGTAGGGGTTGTTATTAAGCAGCGATTCCAAACACTGGAAAGCATTTTCCTGTGCACAGAGGCTTCTGTTGCCAAGCTGTATACCAGTGACCCCAGTGCCAGTGACTGCAGTTAGCACTGATGGTGAAACCCTTCCTCTAACTCTCTGCAGAGAGAACTGAAGAGGTGCCAAAATTGACTCTTCCTCTGTATGGTTCCTCCATGGGAGCAAACATGTGCAAGATAATATATGGGCACCTAAGCTGAGATGATTCAGTAACTAAAGCGATGAGTAGGGCTGTCCTTCCAGATGTTTTGATAGTGCTGAACTTTTAATCAATTTTTAAAGGAATTATGGGATTTGGGTTCTTACTGCAGCATATTTCTTTCCAGAAACGAGTGGGATGTGATACTTTGTACCGCAGTTCTTCTGGAACAGTGCTCACTTCTCTTGGCCAGATTTAGACAGAGCATAGATTTCGCTTAATATGTTTGGTGGTTTTGGGGTTTCATTTTCAAACATTACCACTTCTTCAAAATAGCAAACAATTTATTTCTTGTTTTCCAACAACTTATGTTTTTAAGTTGGCTCAGTTTGAGTTTTTGTATTGTTTTCCATTCACAGTGTGACAAGTTCTGATTTTATTGTAATACTGCTTCTGAGGCCTGATTCAGGCAGATTTGTCAGTGTTTGTATGTTAACAGATTGCACTGCTCCCAGACTAATCCCATAGATTTAATTAAAAAACCTCCCTATGTATTTGGGTTATTTCTTTAGGTTATAACCAGGATTTAATAAAAGGGGAAGATTCACTTGCATTGAATCGTGACTACAGAATGGAAAGGCAGGAGTTAGATTTTTGAGTGTTGGCTCTTTTCAGAAGAGCCTTGCCACAGTGTCTGAGGAAATGCTCCCTTTGTTTTCATCTTGGGCTTCATCAAAAGACACAGCACTCTAAGGTAACTTGGAAGGTTGTGTGTGTGTATGTATGCCTATATACATTGGTATTTATAGATACAAGTATGTATACACAGAGAAGTGATATAATCAGAATTTGTACCAGTTTAAATCCAGAGCTTCCACTTCTATGCAGAGTCACTGAGTCCATTCCCTTAATCATAGATGTTGTCATGATTTTAAATGAGCAAGTATGATTCATGGAGTACAAAATGAAGCCCAAGTTCCAGTAAAACATAAGTTATTTGATTTTAAAAAACAGGCCTTGTTCCTTTAGAGCTTTGTTCTAGTTCCTCATTAATGTAGATTTGGCTGAGTCGTCTCAATGGATGACGCAAGGAGTTGACTTTTAGGTACGTTTCAGTTGGTGTAATACCCTGTATATGTATGGCTGCTACATGGTGTGTAAATACCTAACAGCTTAAATATTTGTCTAGGTAAACACACTTTCAAGCAGCATTAAAGGTGTATCTCTGCATGTTAGACTAGTTTGGCTGTGGTAGTGGCTGGAAGTATTTATCACTCTGTACTTTTCCATGCCAGTGAAAACTGCAAACTACGTACAAATAGCAGTTGGTTTACTTTTGAAGTTGCTCACATACCCCCAGCACTACTGAACATTCAAGGATAAGCTTGAACTATAAGTGAAATTCTGAGGAAATACAGCTGCAAGCACAGGAATTTAAGATGCTCCTGCTGATGTGTGGTAGAGATGAGTGGGCTCTTTGTGGCTGTGACCTGGGGCTTACCTAGAAGAGATCTCTCCAGAAATGCAGCAATCTTTAATACTGTACTTCAGCCGTGCTTTAGTGTTAAATATAGAGAGCAGGATACCATCTGGTTTTAGAAACTTGGTTTACACCCAACTCTAGTAGTTGAGGCCAGTGCAGCACTGAGAACAGTTCCTGCTGGTTTCCAACTGAAACATTAAATTGGGGTCATCTTGATTCCGGTAAAAATCATTTAATCTTTTATCCTAAATGCTGCATAGAAATTTCATAGAGTAAGAAAAACATATTCTTCGTGTGGGGAGATCATGGTGTCGAGTAAGTAAATGGGGCCAATATTTGTGAATGGGAAGAATATGATTAATTTTCTTTAAAATGTAGTTGTCAGTGAACAAATGGCAACAGTAAGTCAATGAGCATATGTTAGGGATGGGAATGAAACCAAAACTGGCTAATGAAGGATATGAGGAAGCTGCAATACTTAAGGCTGTACAAGACCAGTCAGAGGACTACTCCCCAGAAGCTGCGTGTTTTCTGGTAGTTATTAAGTTTAACAGTCTCTTTTACAGATATAAAAGCTGAGGCAAACCAGCTCATGTTTTGAATCATCAAATTGTACATGAAGAGCAGTGCTTTTTGCTTGAATTTTGACTTGATAATGGTAGCTAGAATCCAGTTAAACTCTTGTTCATAGAGATCACAATTACATTTCATTTCTAGACCGTATCATATTAAAAATTATAATCACTTCAGGGTTTTTTCTTCAGAGCCCTTCAGTAAAACTTAGCCCATTGAGCTGAATTTTCTAAGTGATGGATAAAAGAGAAGAAGGTTCCAATCTTGTAATATGTAAACTTAAACAGTTACTGCCTCTTTATATGAAGTGGGCAGCTTCACTCCTCCAGTGTTAAAGCAGGAACCTTGTGTTCTGTGATAATCTGTAATAATCATTTCTAAAGGCATTTTGGAGGTGTCTCAGGAACACTTTATGTCCTGGCACTCGTCTTGTATTTTCACTTCTGTAAATTAACGGATACCTTAATGAGTCATTGGATGCATCTTAGGAAAACATGTGGCTTAATTCAGGAGTGCTTTGAGCAATGCTGTATTAAAACTTCATCTGGACGAGTATCAAGTCGGTGTGGGGGTGTAAGGTAAGCTCTGGGTTACTGAGTGAAGTTTCCTGTGTGCAGTTAGAAAAGCTTTTTGTTTTCCAACTTGGTTCCTACTAATTCAAAATATCCCGAGTGCTCTTCTCGATAGCAAATGTAATGGTTTTGTGAGTTTGATGCTTTTTAGAGGACTGAAATACCTGTATGCTGAGTTGTAAATGTATATAATCTGTCAAATGCTGTATCTTCTCACAAGTGATACGATTTGATGTACTTGTGTTCTAATCTTGTAGCCCCCTTTTCAGCCTTTGATGGTAACTGCTTTTTCTATACTGATATAGAGCTGTTTATTCTCTGTTCATGATATCTGTTAGCACCTTCTCTTAGCTGCTTTTCTTTGTATACTCATAGGTAAGGCAATGTTTTGATCCTTCTTTTCTCCTCTAATCTAATTTTCACTTTCATTTCTACTAATTTTAGTCCTGAAAAGGCTGCCCCATGTAATGCAAATCAGTTGCAGTAGATGAGTTACTATATCCACAGAAAGAAGCACACACAATCTAAGAGAAGCTTTGTAGACTGACTTCTGTTGTTTTTGCAGATTCTGGCAACCCCTTTATAAACATCAAGGAGGTGACTGCAAGTCCTGTCACTTCCAGTTAACCATCAGTTTCATTTTCACTTTGTGCTGGTGTGGCACTTCAAAAGTATAGAAGAAAAAATACTAAATAGGCAGCTGTAAATAAAAAAAGCTTTTTATTTACAGAAGGTTTTTCATAGTTCTGCCCTAAAACTTCCTTCTTTTTGTTTTTTAAAGCTAACACATCAAAATTAGATTAAAATGTTAAATCTTATAGAAAGTGCCAGGGGTTTGTCTACATGTTATCAAACTGTTCATAGTCTCTTTATGACTGATGAATCTTCAGTTTCCTAAATGTATGTCCAAATTTACCAGAATGCTAAAATAAGCTTAAAATTGATCTGCCCTGTCGATGCATATTGTTCTATTTTAAAGAATTCCCTATATAGAGCTTTTGGAAGAGCATTTTCTGTGACCTGAAAGCTACGAGAGCCATTGGCTGGCCCTGCTGGCCTTTCTCTCATATAGGTTTGTGTGATGAACTTGTCTTGCTTGCCAAGGTATTCTACTGCTGAAACCAAAGTCATGCCTCTTAGAACACTCACTCTTTGGCTTGGTGATATCGTAGTTTTTATGGACAAAATCAGTTGGAAAAGGCAGCTTCCACCTGTAGAAGGGTTTGCCGTTTTCCATGTGTTTCTTATTTTTCCCCTGAAAGTTTACCTGGCACGTTATGGGAAGGCTGTAGATCTTTCATCAAGGGCTACTTGAGATGGAGTAGGCAGATATAATGGAAGGGAGCCCAAAGGAACTCACTGCTCCAGAATCACTTTAGGGATCATTGATCCAGGCTGTTTTCTTCTGTAAGATGTTTGTGAACTGTGATAGTGACCTTTCGCTGTAGGTCTTGAAGGACAATTGTTAGGCTTGGCTCTGCTGGGTTTTGCCAGCTGTTCCCACGATACTGGCTGCAGTGTCCTAGTAGAGAAGCCAGTGGAACACCAGATAATCCAGAACTGCTCATTCCAGATGTTGTGTTCCCAGAGAAACTTGAAATAAAGTGTATCAAACAGTCTTTGCTTATAGAAACATCGGGAACACCCATTCTGTGCTTGCTGAGTGTACAAGTACAATTTGTCTGTACTTTTTTGTCTGTGATTTTTCCTACCAGGCTTACCTGGAAAGACACATTAAGGGTGGATAAAGGTACTTTTTTCAGTCACGTTCCAGTACTAAAATGCCAGGTCAACCTAAGTACTTTACTAATAACCTGGACAAATACTGTTTCAAACATTTTAACTGTTACAGAAAGGTAAGCCTAAAGCTTTGAAACACAGAAGAATTCAGTTCAGAAAGTGCTTGAGGACCAGATGTATTCTGGACATTCAGACAGTTCAGTAGTAAATATTACGGCTCTATGTAAAATACAACATCCAGTTTGTACTGCAGGACTTGAGAACAATGTTGGGCTTGCGCTTTGTGTTTCGGGACTTTGAACCTCCCTCACCTTAGAAATAACGATCATGTTAGCTGTGATTTTTGTATCAGAAACTAGTGAGTGTGAGCAAGCATCAAACGCTCTTGAAAATGTGGATGTCTGTATCGGGTGAAAGAACATTTTGCGTTTTCCTATCTGTTATCCTCTGAAATGACAGCTTTAGTTCCTGTTTCTTGTGTCCCTTGTGTTGTTCCGCTTAACTTTTATTCTTCCAGAACATTTGAGGGCTCACGAACTTGTTTTAATCATTGTTATTCATGTAGATATAGTTAGTAGCAATACAGGTGGTATTTTCTGCGTTATTATCCAGCCATGTTGTGTTTAGTACTACTTAGCTTAGTTTTGCAGTGTGTGGCAGCTGAGGAGAGCAGTATTTGTCATACTGCTCCTTCCTAAGCACCGTATCTCAAGAGCTTAAACTTTTTATGTGCTGTTTCTCTAGACTAAATGAGTCTGCAGTTTGTCTTGACAAAGCTCTTGCATTCAAAGTAGCTACATGACATACTACCTGGGGCTACAAGTAGAAGCTTACCATTTCATTTTCCATCCTATAACACTTTGTTTTACCACCTGAAGAGAAACTCAAGGTAGAGAAGAAAATTGTCAGCTGAATAGTTTTTTAAATCTTTATTTAAATGTCTTATTTTTAAGACCATAGTTGCTTTTTTCTAACTTCCAGAATGTATTAAATGTGAATTGGGAAGGTCTGTTTTATATTCACCTGTTTTGTGTTCTTATATTTGGATAAAGTACATGCAGTTGGACCGTGTATTAGTAACGAAACAGAGTATAAAAACTTACATATGCATGGATAATATTCTTAATTAGGACCAAAAATTTCTGTCATCTGTGCTGTGCTGGAAGCATCATTTGATATGATTTCATTATACACCAGCTCCCTCAGCTCCAGCTTATGGAAAGCAGGTTGGCCTTGCTATAAAAAGCTGTTAATGCAGGAGAATCCAAACTTCACCACTTCTCTGGACTCAGGGGACAGTATTAATCTTGAGTCAAAGCAAGTAGATCCCAACATCTTGGTGTGCTTAATACTTCTCTAGCCATCATATCCTGATGGCAGACAAAGACCTATCGTATGAAAGAGTGAAAGTAAGTGTGGGGCTTCTGTGGTTAAACAAACTTCTCAATGTAAGACTTATGCCAGAAGAGTACCTTTGGGTTTGGTTTGTAATGTAGTGCCGTTGTTTGTTGGGCTGGAGGAGATCTGCCAAACCCCTGCCAGTTTCAAGAAATCTCAGTGTTTTCGGTTCTTAATGGGTTATTTAAAAAGAGAAATCGTTTAAGTGTAAAAGATAGAGATTAATGGAAAAAATGTGGTTTCATTCACATGGCTTCACCTCATTCATTGTTCTCTAAAGAAGCGTTGCCTTCTTGCTTTCCTCTTGGTTTAGCTGTAGATTATTCTTAGCACCAACAACTTGATCCACTCTTCTTCTTTCTCCAGCATTGCCATGGCAACTAAAGAAAATATGACTTCACAGAGAGGGATGTTGAAGTCAATACAAAGCAGGATGAATACCTTGGCTAGTATCCTTTCCTAAAATATTGTGCTGCCGGTGCAGAAGAAGAGGTATAGTACGATTTTTCACTCTTGTCATTTGGGGATCAAAATGCTTTGCGATGTCAGTGGCTGGATGATGTCTGAAGCATCTTAAAGAGGAATGTGGTGAATAAGCTGGTTTTACTCAAATTTGAATACTGCGTATATATCCCTGTAGCTTAATTTTCAGGTAGAGATTTGCAGCAGCGTTTTGTGGCCTTCCCTGCTGTATGGTTTTGTGAAAGTGTAATTTCAATTTACGTCTTGCTTTTTGCTTTCAAGACTGTCAAGAGCTGAAGCTTGGCATACATTGCTGCTTGTTATGGTTTACAGCTAAGTGTATTCACGATCACAGTCTTGGAGATGTGAGATTTTTGGCTTCGTGGTTTCTCTTCATATTCTGTGCTCATGGCTAAAGAATTGCCAGATTGTCAAGTCATACGTGTTTGTCCTTTTCCCACCTACTCCTTCGTGTCCTAAGTGCCCAAAGAATAACATTAACATCATTTGATTAGGCAGATCACATCCTGAAGAGATGGATCTTGGTAACCCATAAATTTCATTACAGTTCTTAGCAACTGGCAAGAACAAAAAAAATTCAATAAGCTGTGGCCTTGAAAGATTCTTGGTTCCAAAGACATGAAGCTCTGAAATTTATTATCTTGTTGGCACTTGTGTTTTGTACATTAAAAGATAGATTTACATCTTTATGATTTTACAGTAGGAGTTCTTCCTTATGTGCTATACTTGAGCAGTGCATAGTCATGCAATGTGCATGATTTTCTCAGTCAAATGCCTTTGGTTGTTCCCTTCACCAGTAACAGAATTCCATTAAATACATTCCACAGATGTTTTATGTAACTGCCCCATATTTTTTTTCATACTTACTTAAACACAATTATTAAAAGTAACTAAGCCTCACCTACTAGAGATTAAAGTACATCAAATGCTGGTAATTTAGGTGATGAATTCTGTGCACATGTGAGCTCTAAGCTGTTCAGTTCTCCCTTTTCTTTGATTATTAATGAAGGTTTATTTTACTGCATCTGCCTTCTCCAGCTTGGGAGTAGTTTTGTATTTCTGTGTACTATAGTATTGGGGTTTCCACATCCAGACTTCGGGGCATGTCAAGTGTTTGCTGATATGACCTTGACTCAGACTCCTTAAAGATCGGTTTCCAGCAGTGAACAGCCTGATTCAAAGGATCAACCTTCGGAAACGACGAGATTCCCTCATCTTGGGTGGCATTATTGGCATCTGTACCATCCTATTGCTGCTATACGCTTTCCATTGATGGATGTTCCTCGATGGACTCGGCTAAACTCATCACCACCAACCTTTTCCCCCCCTCAGTCAAGGAAAAGTGAGTGGGGGAAGCGATAGACTTCAAACAGCCTGCTCGTCACGGCTGGGAGCATCAGCATGATGTCTAGAGCTTATGATGGTAAACTGCAACACTGGGTTTGGGTTGAAGCTGCAGTGTTCCTCCTTCCCTGCCATACATCTTGCTTTGGTTGAATTTGGTGGGATTTGTCTGTCTTTAATTCGCGTTTTCACTGCAAGGTAAGTAAATATGGGACGCTTACCAGAACAGGTAGAAGAATTTCTGTGATCAGCAGTGCTGGGGAGATCTGTTGTTGGCTTGTAAGTGGTAAAAAATCATTATACTTGCCTTGGGTGG